TCTGGCAATTGTGTTATCTGAGACTTTAGGTACTTTGTTAACCTCGTCATGGCCGGGCATCTCGTTCACAATGGCTTTGCAGGCAGGCAGTATAAATGTCTCTGCCACATTGTGTGCACTTTTTGATTTGGCCTAACTTTGAGAGCTTTCTCAGACACATTTGTGGATTTCATCATGAAAGTTTCATTTTTTTCAGTTTGTGTGCATAGGCGTACAAAGTTCTTTTTGGTAAGTGCCGGGTGGTTTGTCTCGAGATGACGTTTCAGCTTGCTTGGGACCACGGCGCTGTTTGATTGCTTTTCCCCCAAGCATAACGGAATCGGTGCAGTCAGTTCCCCAGTGAAAGTGAACCCAAGCGAAAGATAACTTTCACTGTACTGCCTCAAGCTCACAGTTTTTTCTTTTCCCTCAAACTGGGATTTTCATCTGAGTTAGATGGCTGGCCCGGGCCCAGACTCTGCATTTTCTTTTTGAAATATTTCTCTATCGCCGTTCTTCACCACAATCTTTCCCGCGCATCATTTAATTCTACTATCTGAAATTGATAAGGTAATTAATGCCCTATTTACTGCCACCCACTGGCATGGAGGAGTATTTAATTCCTTGGCCAGCCACTTAACGGCAGGCTCAGACGCTGAACATTGGCAAATTGTTTGCGACAACTAAATTACATTTTTTTGGGACCCATTAAGTAAAATTATACACTTGACTGAGTCAAGTCAAATCCCTAGATGACAGAGATGTAAGTTTTAAGTCCTAGAGTGTTAAACTCAAACTCGCTTGCTTTTTATCATTGAAGTGTATATTTTCAAAATGGAGGCAATGTCTTAATCCTCTACTCATCAGGAATCCTTTACTTTGGGCTAATGGGAAGATCAAGTCTCAGAGCAAAACCCAGTTCGATAAACAATTCCCAATGGACGTGATTTCGAAGGCGCAATGTTTGGCTTTAAGCCGAATGAGAGAGGAAAGCAAATCAACGTGAACGACCCGGTCTGTTCATTTTGTTTCAAAACAGTGGCGACGAAAAGAGAAACACGACCAATTTAAAATCTTACTTAAAAAATCACTATCCTACGCAGTGTTTGAACTTTGGAGGGACAACAACAACAACCCTACTAACCCTTAGTCACCAGACTCAGGCACCGGTTCCAAAAAGAGTGAAGGCTGATGCGGCGCTGACCGAGTTTCTCCAGGAAGAAGCAGTTGATGCGGCATCTGATCCCTTGATTTGGTGGTGTGATAACCATAGACGATTTCCTCTAGTAGCCAACTTGGAAAAATAATACATGTGCATTTGTGCAACAAGCACCAGCACAGAAATAATGTTTAGCATAGCTGGTAACATTGTTACCCCCAGAAGATCCTGCCTTAAGGTAAACATGTTGGTGCTTTTTCTCGGGATCTGCCTATTAGTTAAAAAACTGATCTGGCAGCATAAATGGCCTGTTGATGCATCTGTGCCTTTGTGTGAGACACTTTGAAAGTCTAAACTGACTTTGTTAAATGTGTTACTTTGTTTTGATCTATTACTTTTTACCGTGCAATTTTTTGTTTACAGAGGTGTATTTATTATTTATTTAGGATAATTTTTTCACATTCCATTCTCTAACATTTAAATATTTTAAAGAATAAAATTTTATTTTTCTTCAAAACAGTGTACTTGCACTATTATGCTATTATAATGTAATCTTGTTATTATGTAATCAGTGGCATAAAATGGTCTGAAAAGATCGCATATCACAATAAATGTTGGTGCAATAACAAAGATTTGATATTGTGACAGCCGTACATGGCGGATATATTTCAGAACCTGAATGAAGTGAACACACAAATGTAAGGCCCAAATGAAAACCTGCTCACAAGCACAGACAAAATAAATGGATTCCGTTCAAAAGTGCATCATTGGCAACAACATGTTAAAAGTGCCAATTTTGTCATGTCCCCCCTCATCCAGAAATTGCAAGAAGATGTCACCACTGGTGCACTGAGATAATATGTATTTCCTCATAACCCCCCCTGACCGCTTCACTGTGTTAGGAACCTATATAGCTCAGTTTTGAGCAGTAGGAAGGAGGAACTAACTGAGACAAGACCAGTTCAAAGATTAGCTTTACTGATCTACCTTTGGACAGTTTTTGGTGGACTGTTTGTTGCCAAGGAGTTCCCCATTTTGGTAAAAGGAGAAATTTAAACATTGCTCCCATATTCCACAACATATCTTTGTGAGATGAGCTTTTGAAGCAAGTCTGCTGTCTAAACTAAGCAGAGAGAGACTGAGAGCTGTTGAAGAATGGCTTTGTGTGTGCCTCTCTTCAATTTCTGCCAGGATATCAGTTCTCTGTTCATCCAAACAGGCCCACGTTTCACACTGAGTGAGTATCAGCAGCTGAGGGATTTACATTGTAAACATATATGTTATGTTATGCTACAATGTGATATTTTGTAACCTTTTTCAGTTGTTGGTATGCCACAGGATGTTTTGTACTGTGAAAGATGTGTCACAAAGGTGGAAAAGCACTAGTCTAGTACGAGTATCCAAGACCTTCGTTTTACTTTATTCTACCCATTTCCTCTTACCATATCGGTCTCTTATGTCTTGTAGGCAGTAGTTTGTGTCGGCTGTGGACTGATAAAACATTCATTGTTTGGTCACATACTTCGTATAAGAAGGTGTGAGGAAGTCAATGCAGAAAATATACTGTACAAGTACTGTACGTGTGTATGGGTTTGTGTAGTATATACCTATGTGGGATGTGTTTGAGGAATAGAACGTATAGTTTGACAAAGAAGTACAAAAAGAGCAGATGGGGACTTTTGTCTTCATCTTAGGTATATAGTACACACTTTCAGTCCAAGATGGCTCCCCCAACGATGGCTGCCACGGTGCTTACCAGCCTGCTTCAAGGCCTCCTCCACTCTGGTGGGGATGAGTGCGCTTACAGGTGGGAGTCTGACCATCTGGTGTCGTGGTGCAGCCAGAACAACCTGGAGCTCAACGCTCTAAAGAGCCTGGGCTCCATCATCACCCAGGACCTCAAGTGGGAGCTGAACATCAGCTCCATCACCAAGAGGTCTTTTCCTGAGGCAGCTGAAGAAATTCAATCTGCCAAAGACGATGATGGTCCACTTCTACACGTCCATCATCGAGTCCATCCTCTGCTCCTTCATCACCGTCTGGTACGCTGCAGCCACAGCCCAGGACAAGAGAAGGCTGCAGCGTGTCATCCGCTCTGCAGAGAGGGTGATCGGCTGCAATCTGCCGTCCCTGCAGGACTTGTTCACTTCCAGGACCCTGAAGCGAGCTAAAAAGATTGCAGTCGACTTCTCTTACCAAGGACAAAAACTGTTTGTGCCCCTTCCATCTGGCAGGAGGCTGAGGTCCCACAGGACCAAGACCTCCTGCCACACGAACAGTTTCTTCCCGTCGGCAGTCGGGCTCATCAACAGAGCCCGGTCCCCCACTGACTGACTCTGACATTCCACCAGTCACTTTCTTTTACACTGCACACGTCACTTTCACTTGTTCGCTGGTGCACTTTATTTTTATCAATTTTTTATTTTTAAATATTTTTAACTTACCCCATAGCCTTATATTACTAACCCATAGCATTGTATTTTATTTCATCCCTCTTGCACTTGTCGTCCATTGTTTGTTGTTATGCACCAAGCGGCAAGTCAAATTCCTTGTATGTCTGACATATTATGGCAATAAATGTTTCCTGATCCCGATTCTTGATCTTAATGTCCGGAGTTTGTAATCAGGAGTTTGGGACGAGGTCTTTCCAGACCATTGTATTGTTGAGCTGAAGCAGCCGGGGTGCATGTTGTGTATCTGTCTATGTGTGTGTTTAGTCTCTAAAACGTCTGACATGGTCCAAATAGCGAATGGACTGGGCTATAGATTACATGGCCTTGAATTCACAAGGCTGTTATTATCCAAAGCCTCGCTTTGATTCTTTTAAATAACTTTAAAAAATAAAATAAAATATTGTTACTGTTAAAAAAACTGTTACGGTTATGAAAGCAGAATGAGATTGGCTTTATTTGTGCTACCATTGTGAACTGAGACACAGATTTGTTTTTGGTTTCTTCTGTTTTTCTTCTGCTATGTTTATGTTTCGTCTTGGTTGTTGTTGTTTGGTGTTTCTTTGTAGTTATTTGAGTCTATTTGTAGTTGTTTTAAGGTTCATTTGAATCATTTTGTGTCTCTTTGAGGTTGTTTGAGCTGCCTTTTTAACAGTCCTTACAGGTGTTGTTGCAGCTGTTTTGCACTCTACGTATTCTGCACTCTCTACTCAGGCCTAGGTGCAAAAACGAGGAAGTGACATATTGAATAAGATTTCCTCCGATGACACCATCAAATTTGGCCGCTTTCATTCTCAAAAAATGATGTTGCTTCTATCGTGCTTTTAATTGTTGGAATGCATTAAGCATTCCAAGTACTGTTCTTCGAATCTTTATTCAACGTATATTTCTTCCGCGCCACCTTTCAACTGACCCTGCTTTTAATTTAGTTTAAGACCTTATTCCTGGTGGGGCCACCAAGTTAATATATTTTCTAGTTGAAAAAGGCATCACCAAATATGGTTGGATGTAACCTCTTAGCACCATGGATACCTCTACCAAATGTCATAGCAATCCATCTGATATTTGTCCCAGATCTGTACCTCACCAAACCAACTTTTGGTATTGTTACAACTTTAGAATAACATGCAACAACTTAATGGAAATGAATTTGGTGGATAGATATTACCGTTCTTCTACTAAAATTCTAAGAACATTGCATCCGACCAATGATCTTGTGAGGTATTGGAAGGTTTAAAGTGCATGTGTGGGTGACAAAGAATTATGAGGCATCTGTTTTACTTGCTACCAGAAATAACCTCTGTCTCAAGAAATTCACAGTGAGCATTGACAGATCATGACAACTTATTTGAAAAGCAATCCCATTTTGTTTGAATATTTTTATACTAAGTTTTTCCTTCTTCCCTTTCTAGAACATTGATGAGGAGGATACGCAGTTCATGACCAACTGTGCCCCTGCTATGACGGAGAGCACCCCCCGCAGACGCACCAGGATACAGGTCTTCTGGACGGCGCCACCCACCGGGTCTGGCTGTGTTATAATGAAGTGAGTGTTTGTCTAATTATGCCATACCTTCATATAGGGCAAAAATGATTATATCTGCTTTGGGATTCTTTTAAGTAAAATATAACATTTCTTACTGTGACTATTTTTAATTTACTCCAAAGTGAGACATTCAAGATCACAAACACAGCTATCGCCATGCCTTGTATTAATCAGCTTAGATGAAAAAAAAACCATTATTATAATTATTTCATTATACTTTGACTGATTGTTACTCCCAAAACAAAAATGTTGATGACCTGACATCAACAACCAGGACAACAAATTATTCCCTATTCTCTGATGTTGGTTTTTATAAACAAGGAGGGGGCTAACTGTGATGCATTACTTCACCAGTGCAAGTTTCAAGTGTGTGGAGGTTTATTTTCATACTGTGACGAAATTAATTGGAAACCAGTTGTAGCTTGAATCAATGTAAAAAGCACATGGTTTGCTGTGGGTAATGGCCAGTACTAATGAAATGTAGTTGATTGGTCAAATTGAAAACCACCATTATGATTCATGAATAGGTATTTAACGTCACAGTCTCCTGACACACAGATTTGTTTTTCGCGGGTATTAAATATTAAAGGGTCTCCAAAATTAGCATCAATGCTGACAACATATCTGGTCACCAAATTCTCGCCTTTCACATTAAGATATCCTGCTTCAACACCTCCAATTAGCGCAATAAAATCTCTTTTATCATCGTGGCGATGCACAGGGCAAAATGTCTATGATAACGACTTCCACACACAAAGACGTCACTCTTTCGGTCGTCTTTGACAAAAAACGTTACTCCACCTATTGTTCTGGCGGTGAATTGCTTTGCAACACGCGCAAGCCTTTTTGAACCATGAATTGAAACGAGTGCGTCGACACAACTGCGCGTAATGACGCAGAAGCATGCGCCAGCCTTTACTACTTTCTCTCATCAAAGTAACTTTCCTGCATGTGGCTGGACATAAATCTTCATATATATTCATAAGATTTGATACGTAGATTCGTTCACATGTGTGAATTAACACTTAACACACACGTTTCCTGGGGCGATCAACAAAAAAAAAGGCCGGAAAAAGCGTCAAATTACGAGTGTCCGGATCATGCTGATATTAGCTTCCACTGTACGGGTCAGGAGCCTGTGACGTTACTTATCTAGTTTGAAAACAGCAGGAGCACTTTATCTACAGTCTCCCCTTTTTTTGTTTTCTCAAATCTGGACAGCTTGGTGAGGCTGTATGCTCATTGATCATTTTTACAGAAAGTTGTCACTGGTTCCAGATGAAGCATTAGGCAAGCTAATGCCAGGTGTTTCTCCAGAAGCCACGGTACCCTGTGGAGTCGTGTAAAGGCATCGGCTCTAGAACAAAGAGACAGATGATGGTTACGGGGGGCAATTTCTAGTTTAAAGCAGGTGTGACTTCAAAACTGCACGGTGTTATTTCAACAGGAGCGTAAGTGTGTGTGTATGCGTGTTAGATGGCAGCAAGAACTATAAAACAAGTGTTTCCCAGTAAAACATTATTGTGGGTTTAAAACAGTGCCAGGTGGTAACAGAAGCAGTTTGGGTTATGCATAGTGACAATAGGATGCAGGGGTTTGAGGAGATCTTTTGACCAAACAAAGTTGATACATCAGCTGATCAGCTGGCGTTAATCTTACCTTCGTCCATGTTGATCCTTATTAACACCACTGTTACAGGATGTGTTTAGGCTTCACAGCCCAAACACTTGACACATAATGAATCTTCGTAGACAACAACTCCGTTTCAAAAGATTTGACTGCTGACGGTCCGACCGGCGGACAGTACGGTCGACGGCGGGGGCAAGCCAAAGTCGGTACCCCCCCGGCGCGCCGCACCAGACGCCCGCGCGTGCCGGAGTTTGAGATCCCTGGTCTAGCGGAAGGTGTAACATTGGCAGCATTCTTAACTGGAAAATACCATGAATAAAACAGTAACGTGGACAGTTTTCAAGGCTTTAGTTAATAATTAGTTCAAAGGTTTTAACCTGTGCCAGACTTTATCGCATCACCCATAAAAGGTTAGTTGTATACAGCTGTTGAACGTAAATATAATGTGTTCTATTTTTCTGAAACAGTTTCACAATAAGGAGACGGTGCATTGTAGTTACTCTGGCTGCATTGCATCAAGAGTTACTTATTTCATTTGTTTGCGTATTTATAATCATCTAAGGTGCTACGCGGAGAAAAAAGTTTTGTCGTTGATTGATCACAGCATGTAAGAATGTAGATAAACTCTGTGTTTAGCCCCTGGACTAGCGCCAAAATAATCTTCATTCATTCTTAATGTTGTTCTTACAATAGCCACAGGCTGTTGTGGAAATGAGAGAAAAATCCACACAAAGAGAACAGCAATGCGGAAAACAAGGAATTGAGATTTACGCATGTCGTTTTACAAATGTAATATTGTAACAAATAGCATAGTTAAAACCTGAAAAGCTGAAAATTACCGTAAATTGTAATTCATGCAAAGAGCATGACAATAAACAAATTAAAGAAGGCGCATCACAGCTACAGGCAGTTATGGGAATATGCAACTATAAATTAATTCTTGATAACTTTAGAAAACAAATTAAAGACAGCCGACAACTTGGTGAGAACATGCATCGCCCCCTCCTTCTCCACAGTTTTGCTCATTTTCACTCCTCTCCCTCCTTTCCTTTCCCTTATCCCACTCCCCGAGGGGAGTAACCTCCCTGACACGCATCTCTTCCTCCTCAGATGGAGATGCTATAACTTGCCCTTACCTCAACAGAGTACCTGCAGCTGCTACCTTTAATATATCTGCTGTTGCCATGTGACAGATGGCCTATTGCCACCCCAGTGTTTGCTAGTCTAATACATCTAGTCCTGTGTGGGGAACATCTGCTAGGCAAATTCACCTCTTATTACTGTCACTTTTGTCTGTCAGTAGTGAGATAGAGATTTAACATTACCTCATCTTCCTCTCTGTGCTCTTCTAATGCGCCTGTCACATTGTCTTGTTTTTCTGTTTTTCCATGGGGCTGCTGGCACAGTCTTTAGAAGCAAATACACATCAGTCTGGAAGAAGATACTTTGCAGGAGGTCTGTGCTATAAGACATAACTGTATTCACAGTCTGTGAATCATGTCTTTGCTATACTAGCCAGTGTTAATTGGACACAACGAGCCTCATGGGCACAGAGCCCAGGGGCCCAGAATGTTCTGGCTTTCCCTAACAAAATGTCACTAAAATAAAATATCAATCTAAGTGATTCAAAATGACAAAAAATGAATACTACCTGACTACGAATAGTCCAAAAACGCTACAACAAAAATAACAAAACAACTACAAAGATATACAGCGTAGCTGCAAAGATACTGTTATGGAATATTTCAATAAAAGCTCGGTAGAAGAGAATGATTTTTGATGAATGATCAAAGTTGCAAAAAGTCCATTTATTGCTTGCAAGCAGGAGGTCAAATACACAGGCACGTATCACGTGCACTGTGGAAATGGCGTCTCCGAGCACAAAAAACGCTGAGCTTTTATACACATGTGGAGGACATTCTTCGTGCCAGTTAGGAGAAGCTGCAAAGCAGGTTGAGATAAGAACCCAGGTGAAGCTGAGGGTAGCACACACACACACAAGATCCTCCTTAGTGGCCAGTGCAAATCATAATTAATTGACATAAAGTAAAACGTGGATCCGGAACTTTTGTACCAAATAAGATATGAACCAAGGCCATGAACAGAAGTCCTTTGTTTTGAAGCTTCTATGAGATTGAGTCGACCGTCCTCCCTTCTCAGGGCCCAGCTGCAAACTAACATTTTGTATCATGCTGCTCCTTGCACATCAGAGTCAAATATAGGACACTTGAGACACGGTTTTAGCACAAAACAATGTTATAACATATTTTACCATTACAATACTCACAAAGACTATGGTTAGAACCCAAATAAAGACCACTAGGATAAATAAATACCCTCAGTAAAGAGACGTAAAACCACTTCAAAGGGATAGATATTTCCTACAAAGAGAATCACAATGACCTCAATATATGCAAAGCAACCCCAAAGAGACTCAAAATGACCACAGACAGACCAAACAAACTGAGAACAAGAGAACAAAATCATTGAAAAAAGACCAAACGGACCTGCAAAGCATGACATGCACTGTGCTGCCTAGTAATCATTGTCTTGGTGCTTATATTTGAATGAGATAATATGCACACATTTCTGATCAAATGAGCCTCATTGCAAAAATTTTAAAAAAAATTGAATTCAAGGAGATGATGTGAGAAGAAGAGAAGCAGTGATAATAGATACATACAGTTACAGTGAAATGATCTTTGGTCAATATTTTTTGGGGGAAACGGGCCACAAGACGAGGAAGATGGCTATTGCAAATTACTTGCAATTCAAGGTACTATCGGCGGCCAAAATCCATCCAATTTGCGCCATTCGTCTAGCTCCACATGTAGGAATTGTGGTGGGGGCTTAGTGTCTTAGTGCTTAGTGTGTCGCCCATAGTGTCATAATCCACCCAGGATTGTCGAGTTTAAAGACAAAGAAAAAAAGTAGAGAACTTCAGCTGTGAATCTCCACACCAAAGATCACACATTCTAATTACCTTCCCACATTATCCAGCATTATTTGAAAGTATCACCACTACTGCACCATGGGAAGGCTCATTCTTCCCCAGTCGCTTTCTCTCCACTCTACAATGCTATTTGTTGCCGGTCAAGTACCTCAAAGAAGCGTCAACATACAACTCCTTACAGTTGGGAGCAATACATCACCTTTACGCACAATCTCATGTGTCCTTTCAATAGTCAAGCTTTTAGGATTTTTTTAAACTCCTATGTGTACAGCAATGCTTATTGTTTAGGAGGACGGTATAACTCAGCAGTTAGGGACGGCTCTAGCACTATAAAAGATTTCTATAACCTGATTATTGATTATTCTATAACCTGACATTATATTCTTCATGAGGTTAAACAGCTGGACATATTCAATTG